AAGAGGATGGAATCTACCTGACTGAAAGACTGAAGGGATTTCATGAGCTGGCTTTATACAACTGAGATTTTTTCCTGTACCAGCTGATGGCCATATTTTTTTGACCAGCTGCTTCCTGCCTAAATGCTGCCAACCTGAGTTGGTGTTCATCCACTGATGTAGTGTGTGCCTTTATATCTTGGAGGTGTAGACCCACTCAAGCTGATTAGATGAGGTGACACTTGCTAGGGTAGGGGTCTACACAGGGAAATGGTTACACCTGTTTCACCCACTGGGCTTAGCAAGGACATCTTCAGACTTAAAGTAAGACTCCTTTGACTAATGAGATCTAATGTGGTTTTCTGGGAATACTGAAATTTAAAAAAATAAGTGAAGCATAACCATTATGAAAGTGAAGTTGTGTTAGTACTAGACAAATGTCAGTTGACTATTCTCTAGGGAAAAGTAATGATTTTCCAGTAAGTAGGAGATGTTAGAAGATAAACCTCTTTATGAGAGGCAACTTAGTTTAGTGAGAAGGGGCAAAACCTTTGAACCTGAAGAGCCCTGATTGATATGTGACCATAGGCAAGTTCTCAACTGCTTGTGACTCAGTATCCTGACCTATAAAGTGGAGATGATAATCCTACATGTTCTGTCAGAATTACTTGTGCTATCAACTGATGGAATTCTTTGATGAATATCTATAAGTAGAAAGATCCCAAATTTAAAAAAAAAAAGCCTGTGTAGATGCTACAGAGCCCTAATAATAAAATGTGAAGGAAATCAAGAATTTGTGTGCAGAAAATAACATGATGTACACTTACATGTGAACAGATTAATGAATCAGTCAAGTAAATATGTGTTGACAAAGGTTCTGCTCTTGGTCTATGAAACATTGAGGGGAAAGGCAAACATAAAATGGAAATTCTCTACTCCCTGGTCTCCCTTCCCAGACTAGTGGGGGAGACAGAAACACAAACTCAGAATCCCAGTACAAAACTTAAACTAGAAGTATGCATAAAGACAGTCTCTCAACTGCCAGATGGAGTAATACTCAAATTTACCCACCTGCCAGCCAGGGGCAGGGAGGGCAGGAGAAGAGAATTACCAGGGATGAGGATCACCACACTGCCAATGTATTAACCACTGTCTTGCTCTGTTTAATTCAGATCTATGTTGTATGAAGCAAATATGAGATAAATTAGAATGAAACAAGGGCTTGTTTTAGTGCCACGCAATCTCAGAGGGCTGTTTTACTTGTGGACAGGTGATGGCCATCCTGGTTAATCTTAACTTTATTTTGTGCTCTTTTCATAATAATTACTTTTCCTACCTTTGGGTGCTATCTCTAAGAACTGATCCCGAAGACTGCCAAGCTGTTCGATGGTCAGGGTGCCATTTTCTTCCCTTTCTACAGGTGGAGGGCGTATCGGAGGAGACAGGTCTGGAAAGACTTTTGTATCGCCGTTAATGCAGAAGTCGTCTTGGTCTAAGTAAAGTGCATTCTGAATTTTGGTTGATGTTTCAATGTGATAGCGAGCTACCTCAGTTAATTTTTCCACACTGAAAGTGGAAAAATGAATAGGGTTATCCCCATTAAAAATACTATCAGATTAATAGTGTTTTCTTATTAGATATACATACAGAGTTAACACATTAGAAAATTTAGAAAATTTGTTTAAGCTAGAAAATTCAATCCGCATGATTAAAAAATTCTAATTTCTCCTCAAAGCAGTTTGTAAAAAAGCAGGGTATAAATAAATAAATGTAGATTAGAAATAAAATACATGCTCATTCAGGGCTAAGAGTTACACATTTTATACAAAGCTGAGCAAAAAGAGACTCCACTAAAATGGTTTTATTAGTATTAGAACATATTTTACTATATAAACGATTATGTCAATAGATATATTCATTTTAAGTATGAACCAGAATAAGGTTATATGACAGGAAAGCCTGTAAAATATGACTGTTAGAATAACACATTTATTTGGAATCGGGACAAATTGTATGTAAAGTGAATCAAATTTGATAATGGATGTCTAGAAAAGTGGCTTTTCTCTAAGTTTATAACAAGGAGTTTGATGTTATCGAAGACACATTTGACAGAGTGGACTCTGAGGAGATAACCCATTGAAATTGCTTTGCTATCTTCACAGAGAATAACAATTCCCAGCTAAATCATGTGGTATAAGCAGCAGTAGTTTGGAGCCTTGTGGTGCAGTGGGAAGAGCCCTGGAAGCTGAGCTCTCATTGCAGACCCCTCTCCAGCCACGGGTCCTTGGGAAGTGACTCAAGCTCTCTGATTTCCTCATCTTTGCAATGGAGCCCAAAACTCACAACTCCATACCTTATGGTTATTCATGTGAAACCACATAGGGCATAGATTTAGGCTGTACTGGGGATTATAGTTATGGCCTTAATTAAAGGTCACTTTAAAGGCCAGAGAAATTTAATACATAAGTACAATATCACTGTATTACAGAAAAAATCTTATTTATGTCTTGCAATAAAGATTGAACATGGCAGAAAAATGCATATTTAATCTGCTTTTTTATAACTCTGGAACACCAAATATTTGTATACTGAAAATTTAAAAAATATATATGAGTCACTTTCTTTCAAAAGACAGTCTGGAATTAAATTCCAGCATAGTGTATTTGTGAGTGTCCATATAGTCTGTATTATTCAGGTACTTTTTGTTTGATGGTGTTTATGCGCTGTAAGCAAAGGAAAAGGGCACTGGATAGCTACAGAGCTTGTAGCCCTGCATGAGGAGGGACTCCAATTGTAGACACCCAGCCAGAACCAGCACAGCAAAATAAGTGTGCCATCTAGTGGAAGGTTACCAAGAGTAACCTTCTCAGAAAGGGCGGGCAGTGGGGGCGGATGGCTAGGGAAATCCCATGAAAATGGAAAGTGGGATTTGAAGTTCAAAGGGATCTGCTAGGTCGCACTATTTCTTTTTCTTCTTATCACTGGAGAATTTTTGCAAGAACCAAAAGAGAAAGCATAGCTTGACAGTCCTAGGTTTTAATTTCTTGTGGCCATATTCAGAGGTCAGATATATATATCTGACCTCACACACACGCACAAAATAAATCTGAGAAATATGAGTTCATCTGATAAAAAAAAGAAACTTGGCCACGTGCCTCTTGATGTGGCCACAAGGATGGGCGCTGTGAACCCTAAGAATGAAGAAGATATGCTTTCATTTGTAGGCAGCAGGCAGAGAACAGAACTGAACATCACTGCTGCACAATGCTGATGAGTACCTGACAAATTATTTTAAGCACTACTGCAGTGAGGTTACCAGGCCGAGGGGTGTGTGTGTGTGTGTTTTACTATAGAGCAACAGATACAAACAACTAGGCTGAGGATTTTACAACAGAACTTTCATTTTGAGACAAGGACTGGAGAAAACAAACCCTAACAACCGTCTTCTAGCTGGCTGATGTTGCTTCTGAGAATACTTGCCATTTGTATACTATGTATGCCACAACTTCCAAATTTTCAGTAAATGTTTATTGCAAACTGTAGTGTATCACAGAATCTAGATCTAGTAGAAACCTTTAAAATAGCCTGGTTGGAGTGCTTTCTTTTACAGATAAGGCCTATGGGGCCCTAAGTGGTTAGGCATGCTGTAATATGTGGACAAGGAGAGATTCTCCATCTCCTGGACCATCAGGTTTCCTGACTCTCCCTTGAGGGCTGTTTCTGCCCTGCTGAGCTGCCTCTTTATGCCTTTCAGGGGAGAATTAAGAGGATGAGACTTGCTGTCCCTCACTAGTAATGAGGATCTGGAAAACCTTTGGAACCCAATAGAAAAGCAGAACTGGCTGTCACAAGGGAATCAGCCTAATGGGTAAAACATTCCTGTGAATGATTTCATCTCCCATTCATTGGCCCTGACTAATAAGTCTGGCATTAGAAAGATATGAAACATTATACTGCTTCTAAAAAATATTTTTAAATTGCTTATAGTTTTACCTTGTAAACTAAGGTCCTCACTGAGCAGTGTGAAAACCAAATTCATAAATAATGTGCAATAGCGCCCTTCGATACATGACTTACTATTGTTAAAAAGAGGCAACACAAATGCATATGTGATTTCCTAAAGCGTCAAAATTTCTATTTGTAAATGTAATTCAAGTTTGTAAACACCTTAAAAATCTTTGTCAATTTTGGTCTTCAGGAATTAACAAAGTAAATATTTTAAAATATTTTAGAAAGTCACACAGTACTTTACCTGGCCATTTCATTCAAGTACCTCTCACCGAGCCACTTTTCCATGAGTTTATATACATCAACTGCCTTTGTTACTAACTCTTCCAGGAAAGCCAGTGCTTTTACCTTGATCAATTCAAGTCTGAACTGTGTAGCTATCTCTATTTAAAAAGAGAAACAAACATTTTTACATGTTTTATATGTCATGCATTTTCTGATTAGCCAAATTCAATTTTAAACCAAGTATGCTTTAGTCTGTGAAACTTTAGGCATACACTTGATATACCAGTATGGATAACTATACCCTATCCATCTCAGAAACAAAGCAATGCGTGGTTAGAGTCGTTTGACAGTTTATTTAAACCCAAACTATAATTCAGCTTTACACGTAATTGCACTTTATTGCAATATACCCTTTGATAAATTGGAATGGGAAAACACAAATAGATAATTTCTGAATTTCAAAAAGGGGGAGGGTACTAAGTCTCTGGATCTCCTGTCTTAGAACCTTGGGAAGGCGACGCCATCAACCTTCTCAGCACAGGTGACAGGAGGGTGAAGCCCATGGTCCCAGCGCCCATTGATGCTCTGGGCACACAATGAGGTCTGTGGATTTTCCTCTAAAATATCTGTCCAATCTTTCTTCCTTGCTTTTTCTATCACCACGATTGGGCACTGCTTTATGTCTCGCCTCAAATAGAGCAACCGCCTTCATCCTGCTTTCTCCAAGTTCCTTTCCCCACCTCAAATCCAAATCCACTTCCACCCGCCCCAGAGTAACCCAGCTCACCTGCGCACGTGCTCACAGGTGCTTTCTGCTCAGAATTCTTCACTAGCTCCCAGTCGCCATAAGGGAAATGTAACTTTCTCGGCAGGGCCTATGCGACCCTCCACCTCCCTGATCACTCCTTCCCAGAATGTGCCTCAGACTCCACAGCTACTCCCCACTAGTCACCTAGCTCCTCTCCAGCCCCCGCTGTCCCCTGCGCACATTTCCCACATTTTTCCAGTTCTTCTCAAGCATGAATTTATCTGCTCGGAAGTCTTTCTTGACTCCTGCCATGCTTCCTTTGTCCTGTCTGCCTATTCCAATATCACAACATATTATAAGTGATTGTTTGCATTTCTCTTCCTCTAGATTGGATTTTATTTTTGTTTGTTGTTTTGTGTTTGTATATATATATATATATATGTGTATATTTCTTTCAACTACTACAGGACCTGGCACATAGTAGAAACTCAGTGAACATTTACTATAGAAATGAGTGAATTTAGCTACACTAGGGACCATGTATGGAATGAACTGAAGGATGAAGCATACTGAACGCAGATGTGGGGACAGGCAACGGGACAAGCATGTGTCCTGACTTCCTGTGTTCAACATCCTTCAGATTTTACTCTTGGAATTATGAAAGCAGGTGGTAGGAGGATGGAGAGAGGGAGAGAAGGAGAGAAGCAAGGGATGGAAAGCATCTTTAGTAGTTAATTGTTTGAGTAGTTAATGGGTCCCAGCTTACCCAATGCTGCACTTTTATGGTTTTGACATCTAGTTTATTGACCATGGTTTCTTTCCAATCAGGATACATTGGCTCAATTTCTTGATCTTTTCAAATTCCATTTTGAATTTATTATATGACAACTAGAAGAGCCAGAAGGAGACTATGTCTTGTAAAATTGTTGCTCTCTTTAGAGAAGGAGGCCCTTGAACATTACCGATCTATGACTGGCTCTTCTGTGGCCCCTGCTCCCAAGAACTCACTTTCAGGACCCGTTAGCCTTTAGTCAGGGTTTACTTTCCTAATGAGAGGCCTAAATTATTCTTATTGTAATATAGAAGGACCTCTTTAGGTAGCCCCAAGCTTTATTTCAGCCTGTAAAATCATACCAAGTCTAAAATACTGCTTTTGTTTCTTTTCTTTGAGATTTTAATTACTGCTGGTGCTCTCCTAACCTCTTCTCAAATTCCCTTTTTGAGATTCCAGCAGACAATCATACGACAGTCAGATCTAGTCTTCATATGGTCACATGAAAACAGCCAACTGAATGTTATACCTTTCAGTTAGTTTGCTTTGTGTCCTCATAGACAAAAGCCAGCCAGGGGCTGTTTGCCTACTGGTCTGTTTTCTACTTAAAAGTATCATCTTAGTTCTTTCCAATTGCTACCTTCAAATTGCAGGGCAGCAAGATGCTCTTCCTTTATTCTGAGCCTCAGTTTGTTTTTTATTTCCATTTCTTCAGCCTCCTCTGCTGTTACTATTACAGGAGTGGTTTCTGCCATAGGTGGGGATTTACCTGAAAGGGCAATGAAACGTGCTGAGTTACCTGCCAACATGCAAGTGTACATGAAGGGACTTGGATAAAATGAGTACAAAGTAAAGTGTGTAGGGTGATACATGTCTGGTGATTTGGAAAGGAGAGACCCCGGTCCAGACAGTGTGAGTGATGAGATATTGATAATCTTTCCTTGAGAATTCTCAATGTGGTGTCTGGCTGGACACATATAATAATACCCCATTCGTCTAGCATCATGGAAAAATGAGGTGTGTGGCTCGTGCAGACAGGGTCACAGACACCAAAGAGGATGCAATTTAGTGTTTGGGGACAGAAATGAGCAAACCCCAACATAGCTTGGCCACCTGGAGAAATACCACTTCCCAAGGGATACTTGTATTGGCCAAGTGTTTCCCAGGTCCTCATCAAGAGAAGATCAGAGAATAACCTCAGGCAGATCGGTGGAAATGTAGCTGATGGTCAAGGATTCGTAATCTCCATTGTCTTTTAACTAGTGCTTAAATACAAGTACTTTAATGATTACACACGAGAATTAGAAAATAAGAATTCGTCAGTATTTGGGCTTCCCTGGTGGTGCAGTGGTTAAGAATCCACCTGCTAATGCAGGGGACACGAGTTCGAGCCCTGCTCTGGGAAGATGCCGTGGAGCAGCTAAGCCCGTGCGCCAAAACTACTGAGCCTGCGCTCTAGAGCCCGTGAGCCACAACTACCGAAGCCTGCGTGCCTAGAGCCCGTGCTCCGCAACAAGAGAAGCCCCTGCTCACCACAACTAGAGAAAAGCCCACGCGCAGCAAAAAATTTGTCAGTGTTTGAGAATTTGCCCATAAGAAATGGCAGTGAGATTCTAGCTGCAGGCCCAGCTTGTACTATTCTACTTAGTTCAATAAATCTTTCTTGAAGGTCTGATCTCAAGGGGTTCAAATTTTGGGAAGAAGACAAACGTAAACAAAGAAATTATAATAAGATGTGTTAATTTCAATAGTGAACGGTAAGTATAAATTACAGATGAAAGAGCCCTTAATCTCTCTGGGTTTCTGTTTTAACATCTGTAAAATTAAGAAGAGATTGGACCCAACCAATTATTCCATTAAAGTAAATGGAAGCATTTCCTTCAAATGCTGCTTATTTCCTTTATGTCCCCCATCTGAAATGGACCAAGGTCGCCTGTTCTTTACTGTGGGGCTACCCTTTCCTTGGCTTCAGGGGTCACCACCTCCCCCAACCCCCATCCTGAGGGCTTCTCTTAACTCCTACTCTAGCTGCTTGGATGGACTCCATCTGGAAAGCATTTTCTACCCCTCAGATGGAGTGAGATAACTGCGCTCTCCAGGGACCTCTACCTCCCACACAAAGAACAATGATCGGTCACATGTCTGTCTCTGCCATTAGACTACAGTCCTATCAGGGCAGGGACCACGTTTCTGTTTTTTTAAGTTTATCACTGTGTCCTTAGTACCCATCTTCATCATGTTCTGCATGGCAGGGGCCTAACAAACACATCAGGAGCAACTGATCAGTGGAAGGACTTTTGCTCATGTGCTTCCCTCTCTTCCTCTCTTGCCTCAAGTCACTGGGAAAACGTACAGGTGGAAACATTCAGAGGGGAGGGTAATGTTTGTGGTAGAGCCCACCCTTTCCCCTTTTCATTCCATCCTGCCTCTGAGGCTGAGTTTTGGGTAGGAGGCCTCCAGGAGAGAAGGACTTGCTTGAATGAAACCTGAAACCTGAATTAAACCTGAAACTTACATACTCAGAATTAGCTTTTAACCCTTCCTTGATTAAGGCAGCCAGTGTCAGCCCCCTTGCACACACTTTTCAGATTACATAGCGTCATCTTGGAGTTCTTTTCACATGTTCAAAACTGTCTTTGAGATTTATTTCACCCTGGATACACTTGGCTATTCGGATAAATGCTGGCGTGGAGAATGTTTGCCAGCTAACACTCCGGCTCACAGGAGACTGGATCTCCAAGTAAAACCTAATGAACAGCATTCTAGTAGCTCAGAGGCTCATGTGCCTGGTTAAGTGCTTGGTCTCCACCAGGGAGAGGTTAAGCATCCAGGGTTCTGGACGCTAAAGCCTTGAATACCTTTTCCTTTTTTGTCCTCTTTTTTTTTCTTGGGCGGCTCCTTTTTCACTTTTTTATTTGCAGCTACCTGAGGAGGTTTTTCTTTTGCATCTGCTGTCTGGTTTTCTTTTTCTTCTTCCATGAGTCTCTGATAAATTTCAGCAGCCACCTGGTTGTATAAGAGCAACATGTCAGTTAATACAACCTTTATGAAAGACGATAGCTATTTGGATTTAGCCGTCACCAAATTCCATTGAAACCTCATTCTACAGCAAACAGGCCACGTACTCAATCTTTACAGAAGATTTAAAAGATTCTACTTAAATGGAAACCTGTCCCTGTCCCAAGATGTAGCTTCCCTGAGGCCACCTGTGTGGAGGCCACTCACTTTCTCAAGCCCTGCCTGCCATTCATCTTTAGTTACACAAACATTTCTTTCTTTTTAATCTCAGACCCTATGGATTTAACACCCACTATTCTTCCAAATGCCTGTTATTTCTTGGCCTTCAACCTGGGGCATTCCTTTATATCATTGTTTCTCAGGGTTTTTTTTTCATTATTGATTGTTTTTAAGTCAGTTTCTCCGAACCACATTCCCCTTCCTGAAATTTTAATACTGCAGAAGGGTATCTGCTTATGTATTTTATGTGTGTCTGTGCTTCATACATAAAATTGGTGAGAATTTTTCATGTCTTCCAACCAAGTTTTGGGAGCACATGCCCTGTATTAATTGGGCTCATGGACACTTGAATCCTGGGCTTCCATTCTATTCTAACACTAGACGTCACCCCAGCAAGGTGCAGTGTTCATGAGGATGACCTGTCCCACAGGCTAACTGCATCGCTGCTTCTTAACATCCTCTACTTGGGGGAAATTTCAGCTTCTCTTCATATCAGCACCCTCCTTTCACTCTCATAGATTTCCTGGTATGAGAGATTAGTTGTGTGGTCACAATACAGTAGCTGATGAAGGGCACAGAGGGAGGTGTGCGAAGTGCTACTGGGATCCCTCCATCTTGCCTATGAGGCTGGCTCTGCTCCGCAGGCAGCAGGAAAACCTTGTCTTGGGGCTTGTACACCTGGGGCTGTGCCTGCAGTTAGAAAGACTGGACCTTTTTTGACGCGCAGGCTCAGCGGCCATGGCTCACGGGCCCAGCCGCTCCGCGGCATGTGGGATCTTCCCGGACCGGGGCACGAACCCGCGTCCCCTGCATCAGCAGGCGGACTCTCAACCACTGCGCCACCAGGGAAGCCCCAAGACTGGACCTTTTGAACCATGTTTTTCTCCGGATATATGGCCAGGAGTGGGATTGAATTTGAAAAAGAATAAATGCATGTATATGTATAACTGAATCACTTTGCTGTACATCTGAAACTAACACAACATTGTTACTGAACCATGCTCTAATACAAAATAAAAATTAAAAAAATAAAAAAGAGAAAGACTGGACCTGCTAAAATAAGTTCATCTGCCCCTGGTGAGGTGAAGGGCGTTTATGGCTGTAAATCTGAGAAATGAGAGCTGAGACGAGACTCCCAAAATGAAGAAAGAAAACCCGCACACACCATGGGGGCAGTAGCAACAGACGGTTGAAAACTTAAAAATCTCAATAAGGCAACTGGTGAGGAAATGGAGGTCCATGGGAGTTTATTTATTTATTACAGTGCTTACTGTGTCCAAGCCTGATGTTATTTCTGGGGAGAATTGGGTGAGGGGCCCAGAGGAGAAACAGGAAGTTGGATAGAGGTGACCAGAAAGACGAAGAAGGCACAATCTAATCTCTTCTCTCAAAGAAGCTCTCAGTCCTGCGGGGGCGATAGACCAGCCAATTCCTGTCCTCTCCAGATTCCCCCCACGCCTCATACCCATGGCGCAGCATATCACTCTCCCCAACTGTTTTACAAGTGTTAAATCTTGTCCCCAATCGCCAAATGAAATGACCGCTCCGGAGGGCTGAGCCAGCCCTGCTTCTTGGTTTTCTCCATAGCTTTTAGCATCTGTGCTATGCTCCTAGAAGATGCCCAGGAAATGCTTATTGATTGATGGAATTTCTTTTAAAATAATCATATGCTACAGAATACACCCACAGCTTCTTCAGTATTAGCAGAACCTTGGAGGGATGCAGAAATGTTTCAGAGAGCTAGGCAGTTTTTTTTGTGGGTGTGTATGCGTTTTTTAAATCAGATGTTCTTTTGATAAAAATGGATTTCATGATATATACTGTACTTTCAAATTCTTGGTAAAGCTGAAAGCAGACTTGTTAACATTCTCCCCTAAATTGCAAGCAATTCATTTCTGAATGTGTTCTTGCAAACCACGGTGAGTGAGCAATTTCCTTTAAAATTGGATTTTTCTCCTCTGTAAACAACCTTGTGATGATAATTATCATCATCCACATTTTTCTGGTCCACTTCCCTCAAACACCTCTGGGTCTCTTTCAAAAATTAACGTTATTCACAGTACATCCAGCAATCTAGCTTGTAAGGCTGAAGAAACTCTAGAAATAATGTTTTGACGCTGTGAGTGTTAAACATGACTTATTTCTTTGAAATCATTGCACACCTGCTAATTACAAGAAAGTTTTACTAAAAATGAACATAACATACTAAATGAATAGCTCTTGGTAAAACTGCTGTGTAGCGAAAAGCCTGTGTTAAAGTGCTCTCATTCCAATTGCCCTCATCTCAGCTGGTCCTGTTCTCCCTGTAGCAGTTTACTGAATCAGGCCTGTCTCATGTGAAACTCAAAGTTCACTTAAAGACATGTAATATCAAAGTCATAAAAGTCTATTAGAAATATAAAAGCAGGATTCAAATGTAATTATTAGGAATATTAATTACTAAACAATCCTTCCTCCTATGCTTTCTATGTGGTTTTCAAAGGTTCACAAGCAAAGTGGTACAGTTTTGAATAAATTTCTTAATATAATAATCTATTATATTTAATTTCTAAAAAACTTTCATATACATTATTTCACTCGATCTTTTCAACCATTCAAGAAAGGAAAGATAAGGTAAAATGTCTCCCATGTTACAGATAAAGAATCAAAGACTCAGAGAGGTTAAGTGATTTTCCTAAAATCACACAGCTTAAGAAGTGTAGCCAGTGCTCTTTGTGCTGTATGATACTCTCTTTCTAATAATCTAAAATTTAAAATCTCATTTCCCCAGGTAATTTTAACGGGATTCATAAGACTTGTAAGTTGTCTTTATGTTCAATTAACAGTAAGGATAATAATTCATCTACATTTTTTTGAACTTCTAGATCCGGTTTCCCACTCTCTGGTGCTTGGTAGTTGTAGTCTTTGCGGTGATCCTCCTTGTCATGACCATCATCATTTATATGAACATCAGTGTCACCAGCATAGCGGCAGCAGCATCTCAAGAATGTACTGAGGACTCAGTATTGTGTTAGATGTGGGCATTGTGCCAGGTGTAGTGGATACAGAAAGTTTTAGAACCTAGTTAAGTATTCAGGAAAACATTAATAAAGTAAAAATCACAAACAATAACCTAGATACTAAGAGTCAAAAGTGGGAGAGACAGTAAATGCTACAAGGATTAGAAGAGCATGCAATCAGAGAAGGCTCAGGCTTCAGGAAACAGACAACCAACTGGTTGTGAATCAAGGTAGGAACTAGTTCTGAAGATTTAAAGAAAATAGAGGATGAATTTCTGACTTTAAAACTGGAAAATCTGGCCCTACTGGACCCCATTCTTAAATGGCAAGGTTGGCTAGGAGCCTCTCTAGATGGGGTTGCTACTTCCACTTGGCCACAGTCCCACTCCACCCTATTGCCTTATACTTAACCCATCTCATTGACATTTCCTGCTTGGCCCTGTAGAGCCCTGCACTTGGAACCCTGGGCCAGCATAGAAAATAATCTAAATGTTGGTTCACTCCTTTCTTGACCTCATATATTTGCTGATTGAACTGTTTCACTTCTTATTTCTTTCAGAAAAAAAGAAAAAACTTCTGGGAGGTATAGATTTATACTGTGAACATTGTATAAATTTTCTGTTCATAGCATATTACCAACTTTGGAAGTTAATGAATGGGTATTACTGAAAGGAAACATAGTAACCAGCACTGCTTACCATGTGAGATATTGCTAAAGAAGACTGCTGCCACGTGTCAATCACCATCTTCTCATCGGCCTCAAAGTTTAACTCTACGTTTTCCAGTGAGTAATCGATCTTGCCCTTCAGTATGGCTTTTGTTTTTGGTTTGGATAAAGCTGACTCTGGAGAGCTGGGTCTTTGATGAACTAGGGGAATTCTTGGGAAAACCAACAAAAAAGAAATGTAAAGATTTTATTTAACAGAATCCTATTTTTGTGTCCATGTTACTTGGTGAATTTCATTGTCCTGCTTTAATCTCAATTTTCAAAGTTTTCTTGGAAGAACTCTTTAGATGGAGAAAGGACTATGAAAGGCTGTATTATGGTCTACACCTCCTAGAGAAATGGAAATAAAAACAAAAATAAACAAATGGGACCTAATGAAACTTAAAACTTTTTGCAAAGCAAAGAAAAACATAAACAAGACAAAAAGACAACCCTCAGAATGGGAGAAAACATTTGCAAATGAAGCAACTGACAAAGGATTAATATCCAAAATTTATAAGCAGCTCATGCAGCTCAATATCAAAAACTCAAACAACCCAATCCAAAAATGGGCAGAAGACCTAAATAGACATTTCTCCAAAGAGGAGATACAGATTGCCAACAAACACATGAAAGGATGCTCATGACTAATCATTAGAGGAATGCAAATCAAAACTACAGTGAGGTATCACCTCACACCGGTCAGAATGGCCATCATCAAAAAATCTGTAAACAGTAAATGCTGGAGAAGGTGTGGAGAAAAGGGAACCCTCTTGCACTGTTTGTGGGAATGTAAATTGTTACAGCCACTATGGAGAACAGTATGGAGATTCCTTAAAAAACTAAAAATAGAACTACCATATGACCCAGCAATCCCACTACTGGGCATATACCCTGAGAAAACCATAATTCAAAAGGAGTCATGTACCACAATGTTCATTGCAGCTCTATGTACAATAACCAGGACATGGAAGCAACCTAAGTGTCCATCAACAGATGAATGGATAAAGAAGATGTGGCATATATATACAACAGAATATTACTCAGCCATAAAAAGAAACAAAATTGAATTATTTCTACTGAGGTGGATGGACCTAGAGTCTGTCATACAGAGTGAGGTAAGTCAGAAAGAGAAAAACAAACACCATATGCTAACACATATATATGGAATATAAAAAAAAATAAAAAACACAAAACTTGTTCTGAAGAGCCTAGGGGCAGGACAGGAATAAAGACAGGAATGCAGACATAGAGAATGGACTTGAGGACACGGGGAGGGGGAAGGGTAAGCTGTGACAAAGTGAGAGAGTGGCATGGACATATATACACTACCAAATGTAAAATAGTTAATGGGAAGCAGCCGCATAGCACAGGGAGATCAGCTCTGTGCTTTGTGACCACCTAGAGGGGTGGGATAGGGAGGGTGGGAGGGAGATGCAAGAGGGAGGAGATATGGGGATATATGTATATGTATAGCTGATTCACTTTGATATAAAGCAGAAACTAACACACCATTGTAAAGCAATTATACTCCAATAAAGATGTTAAAAAAGAAAAAAATTGTTTTATGGTCTAGCAAGTCTAACAAGAGGAAACTAGAGACAAGCAATGCTAAAATATAATTTTTAGGTCTAATTCTCAGTAATTATGAGGAGGGGGATTAAACAATGGCAATTATGAAGATATGCAATTTTGAAATTTATCTGGGATATAAACTTCTGACAAGGTATAAATCAGTTATGAAAAGCAAACCAATAGAACTGGACGTCACTTCTTTAAAATGACTAGCAGTTGGCTTCCGGAAGTAGACAGTTAAAAAGCAGGATATGACAGATGTGAGGTCTGCAAAGGGGGTGTCCCATGGAGGTGTGAGAGCTCCAGCAGCCCTCCCTACCCTTGAGAATGGGTGATGAAGGCTGTCTCTGTTTTGTAAAGTGCCGTGGGAACACAGAGTTAAGCTCTCTCTCCCCCTTTCTCGACCATATTGCTGCCCCTATATAGAGATTTTAGAGCTGCCCCTGGGAATGTTCTATCCCTGAAGGATCCCAGGATCTCAAAGGCTAACTGCAGGGAATGATCCACCGAGCAGAATGCTAATTGCGCTGGGATCCCCCTCGGTGATAGAACATAGGAAGAGCTTTCAGCTAGGGCAAGGAATGGGCAGAGAGGAGCTCCAAGGATGCCTTTGCTAAAATTGGAGGAGGAACAAGCATTTGGCTTGGCAGGCTCAAGTTGCTGGGGACCAGAGCAGTGATGCAGAAAGCTGGCTGTGAACTCCAGCACGCAATTAGCTTGGCCTTGTTTTGAAGTATCAGACAAGGTTTTCTGAAGTTGGCTCTTTGATTCTCATAGCGCTTGGAATTCTGACAGTGCACCGTGTCTTATAAAGGCAACGTGTTGAGGGTCTACAACTCAGTATATGTCCACCCACAAGGAGAGTTGACGTTTTAATAATCAAGTAGTGCTCAATCTCTGTCACTCAGACGTGAGATTCATGTGTCTAATAAGATAAAGTGTGATCATCTCTACATGTTTAATACAGGGCAATAGGCGTTCCTAACACCTTGCTTTGGAGGACAGCAGTGGTGGCGTATCATTTAGAAAAGGGATCTGGATTTAGAATTCATTTACTGGGAAAAATTCTGGTCAGCTAGCTCTCTCACTATCAGTAGAGGTATCAGTAGATACGAACTGGGGCATGTCACTCGACTTTCTGAGGCTCCCTTCCTTCTGGAAAAATACAAATATAATAATAATATTGTTACACATTATTGGTTATTAGTTAACACCATTATTATTATTATTATTAGGTTGTTGGAGGAATAAAATAGACAAGCTATGTGAACATGCTTAACACTCTGCTCGTTTCCCTATACATATTAAAGAGACTGGTTGATGCATTGATTGGCTGAGAGTTCCAGGGGATACTCACAGCAGTGATCTGAGGTTGAGACTGGTGCAGAGTGTTTTGCAAAAAGTAAGAACTGGCTGTTCTTTTGCCTGTTTCATTCTACTAACCAACATTAATAGCTTCCCCATTATGCCTGACTTGCTATTTTGTGCTAAGAACAGAATGCCCTGCTACTGTAGACATTGAAACTTGGCCTCTTTTGATGACTCTGACGGTTCATATCACTTTGGGAAATTTTTATTGTTCTTAATTACAAAGGTGTCTTTCAGAAGCTTGCTGAGTTAAACATTTCTCCTGTATCTGTGTCAAAAAGAGGGTTCAGACTTCTTGTGTTTTCTTGCTTACTCGTGGTCCTTGTGACGAAAGAAACGGAAGAACAGCTTCAGGTCTAACAGCACATTTTGGTTTCTGTAAGAAACTTGCTTGCTTGCTTGCTTGGGGCGGGAAGAACCGGGTTCCTGATTGGCTGATTCAAAATTAAACAGCTCCCTCCCGCCTTGGGGACTTCCCGCCCTGTGAAGGGTATAAAAGCCTCGCCCGGCTGTTAGTCGGGGTCTCACTCACTTCTCTCCGAGTGGGACCCTGTCCGGACAGTTTGTGTAAGCTTCTATACTTGTACTTGTATAAATCCTTTGCTAATCTTTCTGCTTGGTGTTGGTGATTCTCGGGTGTCCTTGGTTGGGACACGGGTCGCATTTACCGGGGAACTTGACTCCAGGCGTGTGGCTCCCGGACCGCAACATTTGGGGGCTCGTCCGGGATCGGACAGTGGGGGTTAAAGACCTGAAACGGGGTCCCTCCCTGTCTTTGGACTACTCGAAGTGGAGGTTAAAGACCTGAAACAGGGTCCCTCCTCCGAAGCCACCGCCTGCTCCTTCCTCGGGTAAGTTCGCGACCCTTGGCTCGCCGGCAAGAAACTGGGAGACTCCATTAGGGCCTGTCGGACGCGACGTTAAGCCTGGAGTCAGGAGGAGTCCCGGGACGCCGCGATTCCTCCTTGGGAATTCAAAGTCGGTTTCGATATTCTTTTGTTCCGACTTTGAACTGGGATTGTGTCAAAACTTGTTCTCTCCTTCTGTCTTTTGTCACTCGTGTGTGTGCTCTTGCATTTGGTCACTTTGGCTTTGTGCTTGTGCTAAAACCTTTAGCTCAACAGAAATTTAACAATGGGACAAGGTATGTTCCGGATGCAGACCCCCCTGAGCCTAGTTCTGGACCACTTCAGAGACTTCCGCCAGATCGACAGGGAATTCGGGGCCTCTGTATCCCCGGAAACCCCCCCCACCTTTTGTGAACTGCAATGGCCGACATTTGAGGTGGGATGGCCATCCGAAGGTACGTTCTCTATTCCGGTTATAGCTGCGGTGGAAGATATTGTCTTTAAGGTACATGATGATCAGATTCCTTATATTGAGTGTTGGCGGGGTCTCGTGGAGACACCACCTGACTGGCTGAAGCCCTGGTTGCCCCCGCCGGGAGCTACCAACAGAAAGGAAGCAAGATCTAAAGATAACATATGTGCCGCCAAGATGGCGGACGGGAAAAAACCTAATGTTAAAAGCTCCAAGCCCCCGCCCCCTCCTCTTGTAGGGGAGGGAGAGGAAGAAGAAGAAACCCCTCCTCCCGAGGCGTCTGCTCCTCCCCCTCCCTATGTCCCTCCCGAGGCGAATACCGGCCCCGATGACGACATCCTCCCAGGTCGGCCCTGGAGACCGCATGCCGGGTCTAGAGATCACTTGACTGAACCGCGACCCACTGCTCTGCCTCTGCGGCAACAAGCACCTAGACCAGGGGAGACACAGCTCTTTCTTACTTACGCCCCTTTCTCCACGACTGATTTATATAATTGGAAATTACAAAATCCTCCATTTTCTGAGAAACCACAAGCGTTAATATCACTGTTAGAAACTATATTTGTAACTCATCAGCCGACCTGGGATGATTGTCAGCAATTGTTACAGGTTTTGTTTACCACGGAAGAAAGAAAAAAAAAAATTCATGTGGGGGGCCCGTAAACAGGTACTTGGTCCAGATGGACGGCCCACTGATAACCCCAACCTAATTGAAACCGTGCTCCCTAGTACCCGACCGGAATGGAATCCTAACACGGAGGAGGGACGAGGGGCTTTGGCCCGTTTTCGCCAGGCTCTGTTAACAGGACTTCGGGCGGCAGCACGAAGGCCAACTAATATGTCCAAGGTTACAGAGGTGACCCAGGGAGCCACAGAGTCTCCAGCCGCCTTCTTGGAAAGGCTGATGGAGACTTACAGGCTATGGACCCCCATAGACCCTGAGGCACAAAAAAAAAAACAGGCAGGTGGGTAATTAACTTGGCCTTTGTGACACAGTCGGCCCCAGATATACGAAGGAAATTACAAAAATTAGATGGTTTTGAAGGGAAGAACTTATAAACTGAGAAGAGACAGTTAAGGCAAGTATTAAAAGAAAAAGTATTCTCAGTCACTTGGCAATGTGTGACTTGTGCACAAGTAAACCAAGGGGCCAACTCACAGCACCAGGAACTACATCAGTATCAAGGCAGCGAGGCAGGCCGCTCTTGGGAAATGGACTTTAGCCTGATAGGAATTTTAAAAGAGGCCTTCTCCCTTAAGCTAAGTATTAAACAAAGGGGAAACCTTTGAGATACAAATGTCCTATCTGGTCTTCTAAGAAACCCTTATCTCTGCCATCTTTTCAAATGCAATTTAGAAAAAGAGGGTAAAGTAACTTAACACTTGACTTGTCAAGGATAAATAAAAATCCCAAGTGTCTTTTCTATAATCACTAGTAAAAAGGATTTAGCCATCTAGATTGGTGACCTTGACTTGTTCCATCTGCCAGAAGCCCAATTTGAATCCAACCCCTTGTAACTGATAGATTTTATGTTGTACCTGACTCAGGACTGAAATTTTGGAATGGGAACAATGAGACCTCTCTGTTTGTACTTTCATACGTATCTAAATGTGTGTTGTAGATGCATGGTATTGCCAAAAATTAATTCATAAAAGAGCTCTACTTAATTGGCTTTTAAAAAAAAATCAAACACTTACATAAATACTCAGAAGTAAAAAAATAATCTGGCCAGAATGAATTTCGGGTTCATGTCATCTGAAAATTATTCAGTACTCAACTGATATCTGGAATTGAAGGTGGCTTAAACTTGTTGGTTTAATATAGACATGTCTTTAGAGTCATCAATGTTGAGTATAATACTTCTGTTGTACCTAGGTTTACTAACGGTCAAATAAAACCTTATTCCATCTGTTATAAATCTGTCAACAAGAAAAGTAACTCAATGTAAAAAAAAAAAACTTTTAAGGAAGGTAAGATGTATGTTTTCAGTAAAAGAAGGTGGGATGAATGAGAATAAAAAAATACTGAAAACAGTAATACATGATCAGGATTTTCTAAGATTGGACTGAATTTAGTAGGGTAAATGGATTTTATTAGGAATGGGCTAGAACAAGACCGGATTTGGTTTCTTCCCCCAAAGTATCCTTAAAATGCTGCTTTTGACAACAGACTGTGTAAGTTTCTTTGCATTTAAGTGATCTGTATTTGCTTTTGAGATCTTTTGTAACTTTGGTTAAGGAATAAGTATTGTCTCACAGTGACCTATGATCTTATTTGACCAACTGTTTTAAAACTTTTTGACAAACTTCCCAAATATCAAATTTTAATTGTTTCTTTTGATTTCCAGTTAACTTTGTGATACTTTAGAGGTCCCCTGAGGTATCTTAAAGAAAAATATTTAACTAAGATTACTTGGTATGTTAAACGTAATCATTCATAATTCTGGTTATTGTAACCAAGTTTCTTTATTGATTCCAAGGATTTGGACTGGATACAAAAGAAAAAGGGGGGGATATTAGATAACGAGAAGGAAGGAAAGATATAGATTACAGGGGGCCACTGGGACTCAACGCTGTTTTTGGACCACGGACAGGAAGGTCGACTTGGGCAAGCAGGCAGTCATCCACTCCTTCCTGGTCATGCCTGACTGCCCCTGTGGGTACAGGACGGGGATCACCGAGTTTTTATTCCTGAGAACCTAGGCCTGATGTTGATTCGATGCTTGCATGAGGGAACGCATCTGGGATCTACAGGGTTACATGAACTGTTAAAAACTCGTTTTCGAATTCCATAACCAGTTTCCCGAAGTAACCTTATTACAATATGTGGATGATTTACTTGTGGCTGGAAAAACTGTGCGGGATTGTCTAACAGGAAGAAAAGGCCTAGTAAGGTTACTACAGGACTTGGGCTATAAACTCTCAATTGAAGGGGCTCGGATTTGTCAAGAACAAGTGGACTATTTGGGGTATATCCTAGAAGGAGGACAGAGCACTCGGGCCATCCTGGCCTTGCCAGCCCCTGCCACAAGGAGGGGAATTGAGAGAATTTTTGGGAATGGCAGGCTATTGCCGGCTCTGGATACCCAGATTTGCAGAGCTGGCCAAGCCTCTATACGATGCCCTGGGGGGCGTTGGCCGGAGTGGCCCCGAGGCCACCAAGATTGGCTGGGCTGAGACACAAGGGAGGGCCTTCCAGGACATTGGAAGGGCTCTTGCCTCGCCTTCTGCTCTGGCACTCCCCAACCCTGATGTGGGCGAGCCGGGGTGGCAAGGGGAGTACTAACTCAGAGGCTTGGGCCCTGGTGAAGGCCGATAGCCTTTCTCTCTAGATGGCTGGACACAGTGGCCTCCAGGTGGCCCTCATGCGTCGGACAAGTTGCTGTCGCTGCCCTGCTGAAACTCGGCCATGGAAAGCTTTTGTACAAAAACTGAAACCTTTTGTACAAAAACTGAAAATAAAATTTCCGGGATCCACATTGCCACCTGGAGACTTAGTCTGGGTAAAGAAGCATAACCCCCAGACATCGGAGACTAGGTGGACTGGACCGCATCTGATTGTGTTGAGTACCCTGACTGCTGTTAAAGTCGACAGTGTCTGGGCTTGGATTCATCATAGCAGAATAAAGAGAGACTACACCACAGAGGACGTGGACACTAACAGATGGATTGACTGGGCAAACTTTAGCCCAAAACGAAACATACCTCCTGAATACGGAAGACCAGGAATCAAGGATTTGATTAGTTCCTAGAAAAAGGGGGGAATGTGACGAAAGAAACGGAAGAACAGCTTCAGGGCTAACAGCACATTTTGGCTTCTGTAAGAAACTTGCTTGCTTGCTTGGGGCGGGAAGAACCGGGTTCCTGACTGGCTGATTCAAAGTTAAACAGCTCCCTCCCGCCTTGGGGACTTCCCGCCCTGTGAAGGGTATAAAAGCCTCGCCCGGCTGTTTGTCGGGGTCTCATTCACTTCTCTCCGAGTGGGACCCTGTCCGGACAGTTTGTGTAAGCTTCTATACTTGTACTTGTATAAATCCTTTGCTAATCTTTCTGCTTGGTGTTGGTGATTCTCGGGTGTCCTTGGTTGGGACACGGGTCGCATTTACCGGGGAACTTGACTCCAGGCGTGTGGCTCCCGGACCGCAACAGTCCTGACAAGGACATGATGGGACCAGATGGAAGAAGCCCAGAGAGAAATGGGCCTCCGATCACTGTGGAATCCTATCATGCACAGGCCATTGCAAATCCTTTCTGGATTAAGGGAGGGTAAAGTGAGGAATGTAAGAACATGCGATACTCACGATTAAAACAGTGCATGTGAGGAAGAAGGGTTTGTTGTCATATTATGCAATAACATGATGACAATAATAGTCATCACTTATTGAGAGGCACTGGGACTAGGTCTCAAGTCTTCTGACTCCCAGGCATGGTGCTACGTGTTTTGAGGATTTCATTTTCTGTAATCTTCACAACAACCCTACTTTACAGATAAGGAAACCAAGGCTTAAGAGAGTTGGGGTGACTTTTCCAAACAAATTGTTTTAATTTACTTACATAAAGCTAGTAATTGCCTGACAATGTCATTTTTCTTCCACCCTTCCCACCAAGTTTATTTTCTTACCGGTGGGAATCTGATGTTAGACTGCTACTAAGTTTCAGTCTCACAAAGTCATAATCACATATGACTGAGTCATTACTGTTTCTCAATTTCCTAACCTGTAAAAGAAGACTCGTAACACCTGCCATTGTCATTTATATAATGCCATGCACACACACAAATGCACACATACGCACAGAGCAGCTTGGGACCTTTCATAAAAGTGGTAGAGGGTCACGATCCCTTTCTAGAAACCCTTGTGGTCAAAAGTGTTTCAGAATTCAGAATATGTATATACTATATATTCCATAATATCCCCAGCAGTCTGTTGGAAGCACTCTGTAACAAAACACACTATATCTCTGCAGCAAAAATGAGTAGATATTCACTACAAGTGGGATACATAATGCATATCAATAGTTTTGAGTCGAAGTTTTCAGTTTTTAGAGTCTTTCTTTGGATTTTGGATTAGCAGATACAAGACTGGTTTTATTAGTGGTATTCAGTTTAAAATCACAAAGCTTTATGTTGAGACTGATTACAGTGCAACGTGATAGCCCGCCTTACCTAAGCTGGAACTCCAAAATATCTTTACTATCCAGCTGGACCAATGGGACTCGAGTAAATCTCTTAGTGTCATCTGTTGGGATTTTACATTCCATTCCCCTGTAATAATCTTGAAGCAGTCTCTTCGTATCTTGGAAACGGTTCAGTTCTGCCTTTAATAGAAAATATGAATGTTAATACCCAAGACAGAACAAGCTGATCTGTACATATGTTCTATATAAGCCCTGTAAGCACTATTTTATTATTAATTAATTAATTAATTTATTTTGCGTGGTATGTGGGCCTCTCACTGTTGCGGCCTCTCCCATTGCGGAGCACAGGCTCCGGACACGCAGGCTCAGCGGCCATGGCTCACGGGCCCAGCCGCTACACGGCATGTGGGTTCTTCCCGGACCGGGGCACGAACCCGTGTCCCCTGCATTGACAGGCGGACTCTCAACTCCTGCGCCACCAGGGAAGCCCTGAATAAGATGCCATCGTATATCATATAAGCAGAATTGATCAAAAGTCCTCTCACATTTATGGTAACTAGTAAATAATGCTTTCTTACTGTTTCTCTCATCACAGAAACTTAGTTTTGAAGGAAATCTTAGAAATCATCTAGCATAGCATTTTCTAAAATTTATTTTGTAGAAGCTTTGTCCTATAAGCTCTTAATGAGCACCATGCTGGGAAAAAAACAAACAAAAACTTTGCAACGTCAAATAATTTCAGAAATGTTGGGTTAACATACCAAAAGAGTTTCTTTATTGCAGGGCATCTTAATATGTCAATATGCTTGTCAGTCTCCCAGGGAGAGGGAAGGGTAGAGTACATAGCCCTTCCCAAAGTCTTCTGATCATCAAGTCCTTGTTTTGTGAAACATCTTGTAGGACTAGTGTTCCGTGGAATCCACTTTGGGAAACACTTATCTAGGCACAGGCCCTTGAAAACTTTCATGAAGATTCTTTCCCTTCCATAAATATGTGCAAGCTTCTGCTTATGAGCTCCTGGACCAGCAGGTCAAGTACCTGAAATGTCTGTTATTCGATGGACAGTTCCAATCATTAGGATCGTTCTTCATTTATTGAACTGAAATCTACTACTCTCCTGTAGTTTACAGCTTTGGTTTTTCATAGGATCATGCCAATCAGTGAAGAACTAGGCTTCTTCTGTTCTAGGTGGCTAGCCTTTAACTACGTGAACACTGATGACAAAGCAGTGGTTAGGGGTACTGGCTCAAGAGTTAGATTCCCTCAGTCCAAATCCCAGCTCTCCTACTACTGACATGTGGCATTGGGCAAATCACTTCATCTATGTTTGCCTCAGTTTCCTCATCTGTGAAATGAGGATTGTGAAAGAATTTACAGCCTAGGGTTGTTGTGAAGGTTTAACGTTCACATGAAGAGTCCTTAGAACAGAGTAAGAACTTAATAAATATTAGCCTTTATTTCCTTTACCCTCTTTTTTCCTAGTTGGCTTTAGATGTGGATTCTGTTTCTCAGGGAGAGGGTCTGAAATGTAGGTCTTGTGGGGTGTAAGAGTTATACCATTTCCAAAAGAGGCACATATTGCTTGGACTAATGGGGATGATTTACAAAAATTCTCTAATCCCTTTGCCTTCGTTACTGGATTTCAGTTATTTCTACCATAAACCTTTGAAACAGCTGTTCCAGCATTCAATCTCTGCTTACCCAAACTGGTGTCCCAGGGATGTTACCCAGGCAGGTTTGGGCTGCTGGCTGTCTTGCCTTCATCCTCAGCACAGCCCATGCCTTGTAGCCCCCACCTGGATCCCAGAGCTAGCAATCAGTGAGGCTGCTACTGCTTCTCAGGCCGCTGCCTCCTGTGGTCCAGCTTGCTCCCGAACCAGGGACTTGTCCCTGTGAGTGCTGGAAGTACTCGCATCCACGGTCATTTGTTGAACAAGGATTTATTGAACACCTACTATGCGCTAGCTCCAGTGATCCTCAGCTAAATATTCTCATTTCCTGCAGTAACTCTTCCTGTAAGCTAATCAGTTCAAGACCTGAAAGATACCCTTTTCCACTCTATCCTCACTGCTATTTTCTTAGGAAAAAATACTCATGTAGACACAGCTTGACCAAGACAGCCTTCATAATCCTCTCAGCATGACTAAACTTTAGACAGGTTTCTTCCTAACTCCAGACTCCTGACCTCCCTTTTCTCAGAGTATTTACTTTAGGAAACTTGTCTTTGTAAGTCCATTCTCTGTCCCTTTGAGATGTAAATCTTTTCAAAATCTTCCTGCTGGTTTTAGAAATTAGAGCTGTCTCTCTCAAGAACCTGGGAACCATCTCTTTGAAATGTAAGCATATGAAATGAAAATAGAACTCCTATGTCCTGGTCCTCTGGGAGGAGCAGAGTCTGACTTAGGAAGACACCTTGCTCCAAGTTGTAAAACTATGTGCATCAAGAAGAGAAGGGAGGGGGCTTCCCTGGTGGCGCAGTGGTTGAGAGTCCACCTGCCGATGCGGGGGACACGGGTTCCTGTCCCGGTCCGGGAAGATCTCACATGCCGCGGAGGGGCTGGGCCTGTGAGCCGTGGCTGCTGAGCCTGCACGTCCGGAGCCTGTGCTCCGCAGCGGGAGAGGCCACAAAAAAAAAAAAAAAAAAAAA